TATTTTCCTTTTCTTCTTGCTATAACTATTAACCTTTTTTCAAAAAACCTTGTGCGGTTGGATCGTTTCGTCACACTGCACCCAGCTGCCTTAAACACCTTGATGGGAGTACGAGCCACCGGTGGCTCATACCCGTCTGTCCGCTTGGCAGAATATGAGCTACCAGTGGCTCATAGTTCTTTGCGCTACTTTTTGAGGCAATCAGCGCTGTTTGTGAGAAGGGGTGCGGTGTTTTGGCTTCTGCCTTTGATAAGTATTTTTTCCAGATACATATTACTACGAAGACAGTCCACGGCGAGTTTTCGATCGAAATAAGCCGTTCACTGACCTGAAGTATCTCACATACGGGTTCTCATTCCTTCAAGGTACGTTCCTCACAATGGCAGTCAATGTTCTTCTCATTCTGAATGCACAGCTCCGTTCAGAAGGCGTAGAACGGGCGATAATCGCTCATCGTGTCAAGTCAAATCTCTCACTTGGTATGTATGCCCAGCAAGAGCCGTATCCATGCGTTGCTTTTGACAAGTGAGTTTCCTGGTCTATCTGGAAATTCATGAGACGAATCTTGCAATTTTCGACTTCAGGTTCAACATAGTGGTATTTTTGGGGCTGTTTGTGATCCTGTCGTTCATATGTCCCGCCGCTTTGCTTGTAAAGAACATCGTACACGAGAAGGAATTGCGTCTCAAGGTAAGCAACAAGTAATTGCTTAGAAGTTTCTACTGGGCTATTCGAAACAGTGGTCACATTAAGAATGTAGGCGAAGTCGCTAGGAACAGTATGTTACCACTGGTTCTTATGAACCTGCAGATGGAACTGAGTAGAGGTGTCAAATACCTTGCCCACATGCTCAGTGCTTACACTGTCATTGATCAAGAAATGAGAGGTTCGAGCTTTATATGGGTTGCAGGAGCAAATGCGTATCATGGGTCTGGGCGATATGGTACATTTGTGGTCGTGGGCCATCATCTCACTCATCCTCAATCTCACCAGCACAGCAGTCATCGCTGCCATAATCAAGGTTCATCCAATTTCATATTGTTTTTAATTTCCATGTTCAAGATTCCGTTTCGAGTGCTGCTGGTTAGGCACACGGGAAAAGACCAAAATATGAGTCGCTAAAGCTGTACACTTTGTCTTCTGCACCCGTTATGGCCTTTTTTCTGAAACCGCAAATCGTACTCGATGGTAAATTTCTGTTCACTGAAACTTCACCTGCAGGGATTCATCAGAGCCTTATCAAAATACAAACATTCTACACATTTTGACGCCGGCGGCACATTGCGCCAACATTGCGCCACAAACAACTGTTTCCTTCATTCGGATCGACAAACGATGCGTCAAGGGGTAGGGCACTTCACAGAAGCGGGTGGCGCTTTCACGAAGAGGGTGGAGTTCCCACAGTAGGTGGAGCTAGTGGCTATTTGGTACAGCCCAGAGTAGCTAAAAACTAAAAATGCAGAGATTCTCTTTGGAAGCAGCAAGATGCCTCTACAAATGGGTCTGGCTGAAGAACGGAGCTGAGCGTATCACAGAGTTGATTCTCTTCAAGGAGTACA